ATATAGGAAAAATGAGCCGGGCATGGTGGCGCATGCCTGTAGTCCCAGCTACTCGGGAGGCTGAGGCAGGAGGATCGCTTGATCCCAGGAGTCTGAGGTTGCTGTGAGTGAGGCTGACGCCACAGCACTCACTCTAGCCTGGGCAACAAAGTGAGACCCTGTCTCAAAAAAATAAAAATTAAAGAAATTAAAAAAACCCAACTCTGGGAACCCCGATCCAATCATCAGCGTCCGGGTCAGCCACCCCGTCGCCATTTATTTTGTCAATTACTCAGAAGTGTCCCTGGGCGCCGTGCCTTGGTTTCCCCACATGCCAGTGGAGATGGGTGTTCTCTCTGTTCCCCTCACCCTACCCTTCTCCCTCTCCCTGGGGGCTGATGTTGAAAATGGCACTAGCCCCAGGCCCGGCACACAGCAGGGGCCGGCAGTGGCGGCCAGAGCACGAGCAGGGGCGCGGCGGGCGGGGGCGGTGCTCACCTGCCCCAGTGGACGGCCAGGTTCTGCCCGATGGACACCAGCAGGCGGGCGGGCCCGTGCTCCCAGACGCACTCCTGGGCCCAGGCCGCCGCCGACCTCTCCAGCTCCTCGTCCCAGGTCTGCGGGAGAAACGGGCGGGTCAGGGCCGGGGAGGGGTCGGGGTCCCCGGCCCGGGAGCCCCATTGCTGGGTTCCCACGGTAGCGAGTGGGAAGTGGCAGGTCTGCACGGGGTCGGGGCGCCGGCTCCAGGGCCGTGTCCCGTGTCTCTTGGCTTCCATGTCTGTGAGACGGGAGAGGCCACGCTGAACGACCCCGCCACGGCACACTGCACACGGCACGGAAGGTCTGCGGGGTCCCGTGCGCCGTCTCGGAGGCCAGCACTGTGCACCGGGGCCGCCAGGCCTGGACTCCCCCGGGTCCTTTCACTGCAACGCAACAGCGGCCCTTGGAAGGAGACCTCTTCTCCCCGTTTCGCAGCCAGGAAAGTCAAGGCTCAGAGGAGCATCGTCATCTGCCCAGGGCCCCACAGCCAGCCGGTCCAGAACCAGGGCGCAGAAGCGGGCGTCTCGCCACGAGCGTGGTTACCTGCCGGCCACCGCAATGATCTGCCCCTGTGCCCGGGCCAGGGACGCAATATCACACGTTACCCCGAGTGGCAGGCTGGCTCCCCGAGGGCACCGGTGAGACCCGGAGCGGAGGGTGCAGGGTGTTCCTGGGGCCTCTCCCCCGTGCCCAGCACCCAGGGGGCTCTCCGTCCTCCCAGCGGCTCCGGGAAAGCCACTGCCTTCCAGCTTCCAGGCGGGGAGACTGAGGCTCAGGGAGGCTCCACGACCCACTCAGGGTGACACAGCCGGTGTGTGGACTCAGACCCAGCTCTGTCCTACCTTCGAAGCCGGTGGCTCCCGCACCTGCCACCGCCCTCCCCCGCCCCAAGACAGACGGGGCGCTGTCTGCAGGCAGGACCACGCCCGCCCGCTGCTCCATGGGTGGGGGAGGGGTTCTGCCCTGCATCTGGGACCTCGGGTCAGCCTCAGGGGTGACGCCCAGGGTCAGCCTCAGGGGTGACGCCCAGGAATCGGGAAGGGGGCGGGTTTTGCACGGGAAGCCCCGTTTGGGCAGAGCGCCACCAACCCAGCCAGGGACCCTGCCACCCGGCCACCACCCGCTGACCGGGGGCAGCCGGGGGCCGCACTCACCATGTACTCCATGTTGGCGGCCGGAGGGTGCACCTGGCCGCGCAGCTTGTTGTGCAGCATGAGGATCTCCTCCCTGTCCTCCCGGGGGATGGCCCTGCGCGCGCGGGAGTGCGGCTCGGCCCGCTGGTACCGGCCGAGCAGCTCGCCCAGGCGGGTGACGTTGGGCAGGAAGTAGCCCTGGGCTCCGCAGACCAGCAGCACCAGCCCCAGGGGCACCGCACAGCCCAGGACGCGGCTCATGGCTGCTCGCCTGCAGGGACGGCGGGGTGA